CGGGAGGGGGGAGGCCCCCCCCCCCGCGAGCCAGCCAGCCACTGTCCCGTACTTTGCCCCGGCAGGAGAAGGACCTGGTGCACAAGCTGTTCAAGGTGCTGGCCTTGCGTTTCCGGGACTACAGCAGCCCTTATACGCGACTGCTGCAGGTTCCCAAAGGCAAGAACCTGGACCGGGCCAAGCTGGGCGTGCTTGAGTACAAGGGGAACCCGCTGCCCCCGCTCGTCCAGCACAGGGACAGCGAGAAGACTGAAGGGCTACCGGGAGGACGTGCTGCAGGCCGGGAAGCAGCCCCCCCAGGGTACGGCTGTGTAAGGCAGCGCCTCCCTCCGGCCCGGGTGGAACCGAGCAGCACCCGGAGATGCAGAGGAGGCTCTCCCTGAAAAGGAGACTGGACCTGCGAAGTAAAGGCTTTCCTCAGGCAGGAGTGGAGAGTCCCATTTCCACGCTGCCTGTGCACAATGCACGGCCTCTCTCCGTAGTCCCTGCCCTCTGTTTTTGTCTGTGTTGCTGTGCAGGAAGTGTCGGGTCAAGTCCTTCTCTGTGTTAGGAGCAGAAACCCAGGTGGTGAGAGCAGTGAAGCTGAATGCCTTACCAATTATCACTCTGTAAATAAACCTGGTTTTTCAGGAGAGAGAGTCTTGTTTTGTCTTCACTGCATCGCTGTGCCTATGGAGTAGTGTTTGGCTGGACCCCAGTCTTTTTTGCTAAAAGCTGTCTTCACCCTAATGAGATTGAAGAACGAAGACCTAAACAGCTTTCTAGGCAGCCATAGAGCATTCGCTGGACAGACTCTTACAGCTGTAGGAGTCTGGGACTTTTACTTTTGGATCACAGGAACCATTGCTTATGATCTAAAACAAGTCAGTAATACAAGGTCATAGGATTCTCATGTTTTACAGTGAGATCAGTTTGCTTTTTTAACGATGTTCAAAGTTTGGAGATGAAAAACTGAGGCATTGTTTGGCAAGTATTCAAGAACTACTAAAATTTAATGCTCAAAAATACTTTTAGGATGATCTATATATTAAATGTTGTGTTTAATTAAAGGCACTTTTTCAATGCCTTTTTTCTTTTAGGTAAAAATGTAAATCACAGCTTGCTAAGGAGATTTTCCTTGATGCAAGGCAGAAATACCAGAAATTTCATGGAGTCTAGAGACTCTACCATTGATTTGATGTGAAAGGCATCCTGGCATTTTGGAGATGTGTGGCTGTACAGAAAACCCAAAGGGGATAGGTTTCTAGGAAGGAGCAATATAGGAACCTATACGTTCTAGTAGAATGTGTTTATATTAAAGACAAGGTTAATGTAGTTTGCTCTACTTAGAGCAGAAGGTGGTTCAGTTCAGTGCTGGCTCTGAGTTGCTGTCAGTCCTATTGTACAATTTCAGACTGGCTCCTGAGATCTCTCATCCACCAGGTAGAAAGAACTCCCTTCTAAACCCTGCTGGCATAACAAGGAATAATGGGCACAAGTTGATGGAGAGGAGGTACAGATTGGACATCCGAAAAAACTACTTCACAGTTAGGGCGGCTAGGAGCTGGAACCAACTTCCAAGGGAGGTGGTGCTGGCCCCTACCCTGGGGATCTTTAAGAAGAGGCTGGATACTTACCTGGCTGGACTCATTTGAGTCCCGTTTTTGTTTTTAGGGTGAGTGGTTTTTTTTTTTTTTGGGTTGTTCTCCCGCCCTGGCGGGGGGTCGGGCTAGAAGATCTATTAGGTCCCTTCAGACCCTGAAACTATGAAACTAAAGGAGCAGAAGTGTCAGCTTGGTCTTATCCCACATCTCTCACAATCCACTAGGCCTCTTGACATCTTGAGAGCAGGGACGCAGAACATCTGAATTTGGCACTTGTTTACAAGAAATGAGCATAGTGCACATCAAACTCACCTCTGCATGAGACTTAATCACCATGTTGGAGTCTGTGTGACCAGGTAGTATTTCAATTACAATTCTTTCGCTAAATCCAAAGATGAGCAGCTGTTGCACAGTTACTTTAAGTGAGTGTTCTAAAATACCGTAACAACTACTAACCACATATTAGATGGCAGTGTAATGGTGCGTATTAATGACTACCCACATGCTAATTGCACTTACAAGTAATGGATCAGAGTACTTACAACTGGGCTAGTAGGGGATTGTGCGGGCCGGGTGCGATCCGGGCCCTTTTTGTGCTCCGTGCGGGCTGTTTCCAGCAGCCCGGGCACGCGGGATCGGAGAGAACAGGCGACACGTTAGAATTAGGCATGGACGCTTAATGGTTGATTCAAGATTGTTTACTTACACCGAAGATGGTCGCGGTGTAGGCTGGACAGTTTCCCAGGCACAGCTCCGCTTAAATCCTCGTTTGAGGACTCAGACAATATTCGATCACTCCCACGGAGTTGTCGAGGCTCCGTGGATCCTTTTGCGCACAGGGAGAGGGATACGTCGAGGATTGCAAACGGCAATGGGGAGAGGCTAGAGGCTGATCAGACCCCTGTTGCCTGCTCGAAATGCACTGGGTCCGTAGGGACCCGCAGCGCTTAGAGATCTTCACACAGTGTGAAGTCTCCTCCTCCTCGTGTTTGTGGAGTCCTCCAACTTGGGCGGAAACCACTCAAGCTTTTTATACGGCTAGCAAGCCAATCACTAGCCGCCACGTGTGAATAATTTCACGCAAGCCAATAATGGGGCTCAAATTATAATACAAATGGTGGGAACTCTTTGCAAAGTGAATTTCTGTGCTGCAAAGAATGCACACTGCAAAGAAAGCTACAAATTGGCGGAAAAATAATTCAGTGGTGCCAAAGCGCACACAAAACAAAAATCACACCCTTGGGTTGTGACAGGGATAAATTCTGATTGTCCCGTGCTGGCTGGTTCCAGCTGATACTAAGAAAGGTGGGAGGGGGAGAGAAGTGTTTGCCTTCCAGAAACTTAGTTACACACCTGTCTCATTTTCCCCCAAAATGCACAACCTATTTTCCCCCCATTTCCATTCCTTATTTATCCTTAGTTCATTCTTGGCAGAGCTCAGTGATCCACATGGTTTCTTTACCACAGGGTGACTGGATTCAGCCAATAGATGTGAGACTTTGATAGCAAGGGGCTTAGGCCATGGACACTCTCTCCATGTCACTGCAGGAATAAGCACTGGCAGCAGCTGGGTCCCAGTATCTGTCTGCTTGCCTCCAACCTGGGGTGGGTCATTCCAATCCATAGCTGGAAGAGATGGTCTACCCTGGTCTACCACTTTTTCTCTTAAGATCTATATAGTAGCTTCCTTCCTTTGTCTAATTTGTAGTAATGCTATTACTACCTTATCTTTTTGTCTTTCTGCTTAAGCCAGGGATTCTTGGAAGTTTGGGCATGCTTGTTCTTAAGAATATGATCCTGCATACCGTTACTTATATCAGTATATTAAATTTCCTTATCATATTTAGACACGATCACTACACACCAGCACCACCTCTGTATTTCAGGCACACTTAAGTTTACCTGCTTTCCTGTAATCTGGTGATTAAGGTGTAAATGCAGCTATGGCTTGCTTTGTATCTAGTCCTCACTCTGTAGGAGGAAGCTAAAGTTTTAGCGACTTCTCTGGCAAATTGTTTTATTCATCTTGATCAGAAGAAACCCTCAGTATCTGAGAGTTACGAACTGCATACAATTAAAATGCTGTTGTAGAATAGTCTATCATGGAAGGGCTACTACCTCTGCCTTGCTGGAAATACTGTGCTGTTATGGTCAAACTGAATGAATTTATTCTTATCTAAAGGGACATAGTGAAAAGGTTAGGGAGTGAGGCTTCCATGTGAAACTGAAAAGACTGGGTTTGGAGGTGTTCAGGGATAAGACATGATAATGCTTTTTATAAAGTTAGACACTCCTTTTAACCATCTCATAGTACAAGAAAAAGGAGCATTTAATTAAGGGCAGGGATTCTTCACAGACATGTACCAGGACTTTGTTAGTTTTAGCAGATGTCTGTCCCTCCTCACCTCCCCCTCCCACCTGCAACCTATCCTCACTCTGTCACACGTACCACCTCACCAGGGAGCTTTCCTAATTTTAACCCTTCCAAGCTTGCCACAGCAGCCAAGAGCTTAGGAAGAAATTTAAGAAGAGCACATACATTTATGGGTAACACGAGCATCCACAAATTGGTTCACAAGACAATCTCTGACTGTTATCGTGAAGAACACCACCCACACAGGCAAGTGATCTCAGCCTCTGGTGCTGGACCAAAAGTCTCAGCTGATCAGGCAGTTGCCATCTACAGTATTAACAGCAGTATCTTCAATGCAGAATTGTCTGAAAGTTACAGGCCTCAAAATACCACTCCAGTGTTAATCTCTGAGTTCAGCAAGCTTCACTGAAAGTGTCAGGACCTAGAAACAGTGACAGACACCAAAGCTAAAAACCAAACATTTGCAGCCACCAGGACACCTTTGTTAAACAAGCATAAGAGTCTGTTCCCATGTAAGCAAACAAAACACTTAACACTTTCAGCTGGATACATATCAGCAGATCAGCCTCTTCATTGCAGAGCCTATTGCAGAGATTTATACTGCAACTAGCACCCAGAGACTCCAGTGTGAAATAGGTTCCTTTGTAATCTCTTCAATTAAAAGCAGCAATTGTGTTCCTGGCTTGAAGAAATTACTCTTAATGTGACTTCAGAATGATGGGAACATACTTAAAGTTTGCTGTTAAAAGATGCTTTTAGAATAAGATGTACAGTAAAGGAATCCATGTCTGTTTCCCAGCAGAAAGAAGAACAAAATAGTGTAGACTTTCCACTGTATTTGTCACAGAAAGAGAAAATATTAGCAAAGTTTTAGAGATGACAGTAGCCTAATGGTCCATAAGCCTCGAAAGTAGTGAGGATCAGCTTCCCCAGACAGAAGCATAAAAGGACTAACTTTGTGTTTGACCTAGATGCAGTGTTTGATGCTCCAGAGCCTGGGGCCAAGGACCTTCTCTAAGTTGCCCCTTGTCTGTTCCCACACCACCTTTAAGTGACAGCCTTTTTTAAAAAACAAAGAGTTAATCATAGCTGCATTTTTCCCTTTCCTCACTTGCTACATCCATGTGTGCTGCTCCTTCAAGTAGCCTAACAATAGGGTGACCATGTTGGCCAGGACAGTCCTGGATTTTATAGGCTGTCTCAGTGTCCCGGCCACTGGAGAAAATTTAAGCAAAAGTTCCAGACTGGTAGGAACCTGGGAGCCATGGGGTTGCAGCTGTGTGTGTGTGCCTCGCTGTCCTGCCTGGCCCCGCTCCTGGGAGCTGTGGAGTGGTGTGTGGGGCAATGGGCAGGGCCAGAGCAGCTGTCAAGATGCACTGGGGAGCACAGTGCCTTTCTTACCAGAGCCAGGTCTCTGAATGCTGCACAGGCTCCATCTGGTCTGTGCTGGCTCATGGCTCCGGCCCCATCCCAACAGCCATGCACTGCCAGGGTGGGCCAGCCACACTGCAGCCCCCACGATGAGAGCCCAGCCAGACCAGCTGTGTCCTATCCATACACCAGGCCCAGGTGGGTGCAGCCCAGGTGTATGGATAGGACACAGCCACAGGTACTGGGCCAGAGCCATGAGTTAGACAGAGCCCATGCAGCACCCTCCATCCCTGGCAAGAAAGGCACTAGGCTCCCAACAGCTGCTCCAGCTGTGTATGTGTGCATATACATGCATGCATGCCCTCCCTCTCCGCCCCCCATCTCAGATTTCCTTAAAATAATTATTTATTGTCATCCTGGTTAACAACCTTGTTTGTCAGCACAGGAATCCCCAAGAGGTCCTGTCATACCACAAGTCAACCTGACTTATCTTCCATTTCCACCATCTGCAGTCTGCCAGCTCAGGCAGTTAAATCTCTGCCTTCCCCAGATGTTATTTTATGGATACAGCCTTGCCTTGGTTAATGCAGAATTCTAATGCCTGTCCACAGCACATGCCAAGGTGTATGTGAAATGCCACTACCATCATTGTGAAAAAAAAACAACCCTGAAATAGATTAATCAAACTACCACCTGAAACTGGGAATGTGAGTGTGTGTCCTGGTTATGAAAGATGCTGAGACCTCAGCTCCTGTGAAAGTGCCTTACATCAAGCTTTCAATACCAATCCTTAGGCACCCATGTTTGAAGAAACACTTGGGTACAGGAAGTGACGCTTGACATACACAAAAGTGTTGGTATCTGCATGGAGGTTGGGGCAGGTAATGAGACAGTACTCAGTCCCACCCCATGCATAACAGTGGCTCTGGCAGAACATCTCAGCATATGACCCCCATGTATGCTGCTCTACGCCCCAGACTGAGTGCTGCAGTGGGGGTGGCGGCTCTGCTCTGGCATCCTTCTAACTGCCTGAGTTGGTGGGTCTGGCGCTCAGCTGCCTGTGGAGAGCAGAGGGAAAACCCGCTGTTAAACCCTGCACCCATGCGCACTGTTCCTGCTCCTTGGCACCCTTGGGGCCAAGGCCCCTCCTGTGAACCTTGGGTTACAGGAACTTGCCCACTGGCTACACTCACAGAAGCCCATGTGGTTGCTCTGCCCCCCACAACCTCCTCCATTCTGATTGTGCGCACAGAAACTATCACCTGCTGACATCAGGAAGTGCCAGCACCTACCGAATGGCAGTTGTGAGACTCAGGTGCCAGTGATTGATGTCCTCCTGGTTGCTCGACATCAGCAGCAGGGTCTTGTGTGGAAAGCAAAGCTGGAAGAGAAAGCTGAGTCCAGTGCTTGTACAATGCACCTTTGCCAGAGGCAGGAGAGCAACAGTAACAGGCCACCATGTGCTGGGCAGCCCAGAAGCAGCCTAAGACCCACCTTTCTCTTGTTCCTTCAGCCACAGACCTCAAAGAACCTCACAAAATTATTAAAGCCTCCCAGTACCCACTAGGTAGCAAGTCACAGCCCAGAAGCACTGTTCACCCTGTTACCGTCCCCTCACCCCAACTGGCCCTCCTAGTGAGGCATACTTGTTCTCCCTGCCAGGGCCTTCCCAAAACCCCAGGGTAGCCCAAGGGCTCTGAAGAATGGAGGTAAAGGACAACTCCCCAAGCACCACAAGTTTCCCCAAAAGTTGTTCCTCAGCAGTGGTCTCCCCACTAGCAGATCCTGCAGCAGAAAAAGCCATTGGAGCAGCTGTTGTGTGGTGGTGCCAGTGCCATCTCCTCTGGCCTGAGGGGGCAGGACTCCCAAGGAGACAGTCCCAGCAATTGTGATGGCTCCAACTTGTCATGCTGTTGTGAAGCCAGTCTCATCCCATGTTCCAAGGGTTGCCTTGAATCTAACCAGGGGTGTGTCAAATCTAGTCAGATCTGCCTTGATTCTAGACTAGTACAAGGAGGGCACATTACCTACAGTCCTCTCAGGCACCACTCCCTGGATTTCCCTGGGCCCCTCACCCTGAGACCCAGGGGAGCAGGGACAAGAGGCTGTGTGCCAGGGACAGGGTGGTCAGGGAGGACCATGCCTTGCACTGCAGTAGAATGGGCTCTGCTTTTCCTCCTTCTCCCTTCCGCAATGATCCTCCCTAGCATTGCCCAGCCCTCTGCATTCTCCATTGCCAGCATTGCCCCACCTCTGCCATGCTTCTACTAAATCTGGAGGTTCACACAGCCTCTCTCTGCCCCTTCACGAGTCACAGGAGTTAGCTGCACCTGCTTTTATGCCACAGCCAGTTTTAACAAACCAGAGAACAGAACATTTGCAGACAGAAAGGAATGGCAGGCTGCGGGAGCTACAGCCAGGAACAGAGGGAAACTTACACTGAGCAGCCCTCCTTGCCCCTGGGTATGACCAAACACTTTATCCACTGTGCACTGGCTCAGGGGGTAAACAGCTTGGCAAGCAAACTTGTCCGAATTGAGAAGGTGCAGCGGGTGGCAGGGCTTTGTGGCAATCAAGATATCCGAGAAAAGGAAGAACATCTTACGCTTCACCTCTTCTCCCTTTGCAGGCACCACCATCAGCCAGCCCTCCCGGACATACCAGCGCCCTGGCCACAAAGAAAGGAAAGGAAAGCACAGCTGTCAGATGGAACTAATGACAATAAGAGAAGACATTGCCAATGAGAAGGAATAAGTCAAGCTACTCAAGTAGGATGTTGGGTTTGAAGTCAGCTCCAACCGCTCAGCATAAGGACCTGGACACCACCAAGCAAGTTCAACAAAATCTCTGTCTGAAATGCAAACGCAGGCTCAGAAAAAAGTTTTAGCTGTACAAGGGAAAGGGTGGATTTAAAATGCTGGTGTAGGACACCGCACCAGAAGACCAATGTTCAGACTGGTTCATTATTTCAGAGACACTAACAGGAGCAAGTTTACCTTAGAGAAAACTCAGAAAAAAACAGCTCAGAACAATACAAAATAATGGGATTAAAAGGACTGGGGGAGGGCAGGGGCCCTCAGGTTCTCTAATTATACAGAAGTGATAAAATAAGAGAACAAGGAAATGCACAGCAGAAGTGAAGGGCAGAAAACTTAAACTCATAAAAAGAAATACAATTAGTGCACCATGCTGTTACCCAGGGGAACTCAGTGTTCAAATTAGACACACCACAAACTTAGCAGGATTGAGACAGACACAGTGACACACACAGACAGACTTCCCTTTGCTCTCGCTATGCTCCCTGTGCACAGCTACATTAACTAGGATGACAGGTAAAAGGGAATACGTGTCCTCCTGCGTATTCAACAAGCCACTAACTGATGGGAACAAAAAAGAAAGATTGCTTCCTGTGAGGTGACTGCTTATGGACATTTGGGTTCAAAGGGGGCCACCACCAGACAGTCTGACCTGCAAACACATAAACCAAAGTCCCACCTGGAGCCAGCACCTTCACCTTCCGTCCTTTGAGCAGCTTCTGGACTCGCAGCAGCTGCAGGGAGTTCTCATGGCTGCGAGCAGTGTCACGAACCCAGTGAGACATCTTGGAAACGGATTTCACAGCCCCTGAAATTACCATAGCACATCCTCCATCATCCCCATGCTCTGTTCGCACCCACCTGGGTCAAGGAAGCAGGACATAATGAAGACAAGGGAGATTGGAACTGAACATCCAGCAGTGAAGAACACCTCCCCAGTGGTGACACGTATCATGCCAGAAAGCCTCTCTCAGTTTGGGAGCCATGGATAGGTACAGTGGGAAAGGGAAAGGAAGTGAGTCCCACAACTGGAACATGGGCCTTTGACAGATCACAGGCAAGCAGACATCAGGGAGTGGCCCTGGACTGGCCCAGGGGATAGATGGGCCAATGGATTGGGTCTGTCACATCTATGACCTCATCTCCTCGGCCCCTTTCCCCAAAGGTGAATTCCCTAGACCCTTTCCCGTTGCTGGCCAGGCCCTGCACAGGCCCAGGCAGCTGGAGTGTTCGGTCAAGGTGGCAGCGAGAGGCAAATCTGCTAGGGCTCTGCACAGACCTGCAGAGCATCAGCAAGGTCTTCTCGCTGTTTGTAAAGGGACAGTCCTAACCCAGAAAGCAGCACTCATGGGGATCTCATACTTGCAAGCTGCTGGAACTCTGCACAGTCCGGGCTGGTGTTCTCCATCAGGTCTCTCAGCAGGTGCTTGTACCTATGAGAGTGGAGGTAGGCAGCAGGGTGATGTTCAGACAGGGAGATCAGCTTGAATGACAACATCTCATATTAGTGGCAGTGCAAGGGATGTGGCAAGTCCAGCTTCAGAGAGGGAGGTGGTGGTCAGTCAGTTTGGAGGGCTGGATCACCACTCCCCCACCTTTTACAGACCATCAGGCAGTTTCCACCTCAGTCCATCTCTCCCCACTCTACGTTGGCTGACAGGCCTGTCTGCACAGCACCACAAACTATGGCACTCTCTCTCCTCTCTTCTGTAACCCTAATAAACACACAACACCCTTCTCCCTCACACCCCCTCTAGTCTCAGAGGCTCCCACACAGTGTCCCCAGGCTGCATGTAGAAGCAGAGGCCACCAGCTGATATGACCCCCTCCTCGTTTGGTCTCCACACGATCACTCAGCTCATACCACCTGGGCAGCTGAGCCACTTTGCCACCCACTCAGTCTGTGGCCACCCCTGACTCCCTACTATTGTCTGTCCAAGTGACTGTCCACCCATCCCCTCTATCATCACAGGCCAGGACCAAGGAAATGCAGCCAGCAGTTGGAAAGATGATCTCTAGGAAGCGACAGGCACCCCAGGGCAAGAAGCACCAGGAAAGTCCCAGCCAAGAAACCACAGGACAGCGTATCGTCTGCAGTTTGCCACCCAGAGCAGACACAGCCTCCAAAAAGTACCACTTTGGCCAGCTGGCCCTTGCCAAGTTGCCAAGTCTTATTAATGCCTGGAAAGCCCAAGGCCCTCTCCCCACCACCCTGCCAACTCTGGGGTGATAGATCTGAGCCTGCAGTGACAGCAACCCATAATGTCCCACTCCAGTACACTGGCAGCACCCACATGACAGAGCCCATGGCAAGGGAGGAGCTATAACTCAAACATTACCTATTGTCCAGGGTCCTCCAAGAGTCCAAGCCCCTGAATGTCTACACACACACACACACACACACACACCCTTGTTAATGAGCCTGCAGCTCAGGCACCCAAACCTGGAACACTCCATCTAGCTCTTTGTCCACCAGCACCCAGGAGACTACTGCCTTTGTACCCCTCTCTTCCCCTCTAATTAGGGCTCATCACTGGGGATCCCTGCCACCAGCAGGCCCAGGGTTACTTGCTTGCTTACTGATGGAGCCTCTGCAGGGGCAGAGGGAGCAGGTCCTCCAGCTGTAAGCCCAGGAACTCAGGTCGAGACTCCTGAAGCTTTTTGAACCGGCGAAATGCCTTGTTCTTCTTCACCTGCTCCTGTATGACCAAGAAAAGGCACATAGGTTTGAGGCCCAAGAAAAGTAGTGGTCTAAGCCAGGGGTGTGCAAAATATGGCTTGTGGGCTGGATCTGGTCTGCTAAATGATTCTATCCAGCCTGTGGCTGCTCCTCTGAAGGAGGATTGTACCCAGGCTACAGGTGCCCTGGCTTTTGGTGCCTCTCACCTATCTCCCTTCCGAGTGCCGTAGCCAGCTGCAGCAGCAGCTCCAGTTCCAGTGGCCAGGTAGCCACTCCTCTCCCTCATTTGGTCTGCCCTGCTCCCCCAGCTCCCACTGTATACTCCAAGGCAGGAGGTGCTGAGCTCCTTGGCCAGGCTTCTGCCCACCAAGGCTGTCTCTGCACAGCTCTAACTCTGCAACCATTCACAGATGAGGCAGCATGTCCTGTAGCCAGGCATAGACATGTATACCATGAGCTATGGGTGACAAACAGCACTATTACTCCATCAAACATATGTTATCCAAAGTATAACCAAACTGAAGGGGAAGTGTGGATGACGGGCTTGGCCATTTTCAGGGAACCTGAGTCAAAGCTGCAGAAACGTGACTGAACAGCAAGCCAAGGGCCTGAATCCTAAATACTCTGTACAGGCAATCCCCGCTTAGTGCTCCTAATTGGTTCCAGAAAAACTGAGCACTAAGTGAAACAGCGTTAAGCAGAACCCATTTCCCCTAGGATTTAATGTAAAAAAAGATAATTGGTTCCACACCACCTGCCAACCCAGACCCCGTCCTCCTGCAGCCCCACCCTGCACTCCTGCTGGCCCTCTCCCGGCAAGGCACCATGCGGGCTCTGCCAGGGAAGGCATCAGCTCCTCCCAGCCTCATTGTTCCCCTGCCGCGATGGCCCCTGCCAGCCTGCGCCTGCTGGCCACCAGTGTGCCTGTGCATGGCCCCAGCTGCCCTGCCCATGGGGCCCGAGTTGGAGCTCTGGCATGGGGTAAGCCGTGGGGCCACCCACCTGCCCGCACCCCGCTTTGCCTAGGGCACCCGGCACTGGGACGAGCTGCCACCGCCAGATCACTGCAGGCTCGGGATGGTGTCTGTGCCCCATGGGTAAGTGTATGACTGGAGTGGAACAGGGCATGGGCTGCAGCCTGGGAGCAGGGGAGCTCTGTGGGCTCGGCTTGAACTGGCCCAGGCCCTGCACTCCTGCTGGCCCTGGCCTTGGGCCCCGTGCTCCTGCTGCCCCACTGGCCCGGGTCCCGCGCTCATGCCCCCCACCCACCCCTTCTCGCTGCTGCCGCTGGTCCTCCCCACCCACTGGCTGCTCCAGCACCACGTACCAAAGCGGACCCTGCGCTCCTGGGCCCCGCCGGCCTGGGCTCCAAGCTCATGCACCCCAACCCTTCCCCTTCTCGCTGCTACCACTCCTCCCAACCCGCTCCAGCACCATGTGCTGGAGCAGACCCCGGGTTCCTGCCACTGCGTGAAACCTGGGCTCCTGCCAGCTGCCACTCACAACTTCCCTCGCCACCACCACCACCACTGCTTCTCCCCATGCCCGTGCTGAGTGTTATAGTGAAACGCGCTCAGTGCTGAGTGAAACTAGGTAGGTATTTTAAATGAGCACTATAATGAAACCGCGGTAAGTGGGGGTTGCTTGTATTACGATTGCATCCTAAAATATTAATAACTAAGGTGACCAAATGTATTACTAGTTATTCTGTTATAATACATATACAACCAACAACCCTGCTATAATAGATGTATTTTGCTAACATGTCCAAATGATTATAGACACAAAGGCAGCCTTGAGGATGAAAAGAGCAAAGCAGCCTTGTCAGGCCACAGTTAGTAAATAACTGACCAAGGCCAAATGACAGGAGAGAGAGGGCAGGGAGGAAAGGTGGGGGTGTGGCGCTCTATGTCAAGGAGCAATACACATCCTCAACAAGTAGCACTGGGTCAGAGGAGGGGCACACTGAAGTGCTCTGGGTTAGAATACAAGGAGGTCGGGGAGAAAGGGACTTAACGGTGGGGGTCTACTACAGACCACCCAACCA